GTTTTTCTGGCTGAATGTTGGGATTTGATGCTGACTGTGGGATTTTTGGGCTGAATTGTGGGGATTTTGGGGCTGAATGCCGTTTTTTGGGGCCGAATTGTGGGATTTTGGGGCCGAATTGTGGGATTTTGGGGCCGAATTGTGGGATTTTGGGGCCGAATTGTGGGATTTTTGGGCCGAATTGTGGGGATTTTTGGGCTGAATTGTGGGGATTTTGGGGCTGAATGCCATTTTTTGGGGCCGAATTGTGGGATTTTGGGGCTGACTGTGGGATTTTTGGGCTGAATTGTGGGGGTTTTGGGGCTGAATGCCATTTTTTGGGGCCGAATTGTCGGATTTTGGGGCCGACTGTGGGGTTTTTGGGCTGAATTGTGGGGATTTTGGGGCTGAATGCTGTTTTTTGGGGCTGAATGGTGGGATTTGATGCTGACTCTGGGATTTTGGGGCTGAATTGTGGGTTTTTTGGGCTGAATTGTGGGGATTTTGGGGCTGAATGCCGTTTTTTGGGGCAGGCCCTGCAGCAGGAGCTGGACTTCGCAGCCTACCTGGGGGTCCCAGCCGTGCTGCTGGCCCTCAGGGGGCCCCACTGCCCCAACCTGGCCAGGGGGCTGTGTGCGCATCTGCAGGGGGCTCCGCACGGGGCTGCGGTGAGTACGGGGTTAATTAGGGTTAATTAAGGCTTAATTGGGGCTTAGCGGGGCTTTGGGGGGGTTTCATGGGGTTTTGGTGGGGTTTCATGGGGTTAAATGGGGGTTAATTGGGGCTAATCGATGCTTAATGGGTCTGCAGGGGGCTCCGCACGGGGCTGCCATGAGTACAGGGTTAATTAGGGTTAATTAAGGCTTAATTGGGGCTTAGCGTGGCTTTGGGGGGGGTTAATGGGGTTTTGGTGGGGTTTCATGGGGCTTAATGGGGTTTAAGTGGGGCTTAATGGGGGTTAATTGGGGCTTAATGGGTCTGCAGGGGGCTCCGCACGGGGTTGCCGTGAGTACGGGGCTTAATTAGGGTTAATTAAGGCTTAATTGGGGCTTAGTGGGGCTTTGGGG